GAGATGGTTTGTGTAAATGCAGTGCTTAAATGCTGTGTAGTCACCAGACTAATGGCCGGATGGGCTGACGGATCTCTTCCTCGGGTCTCTCCTTCTATATATTCATGTGTTTGTGAGATTTCAGGTGAACGACGGTGAGAGAACATCTCCAGGATCAGCAGCTGAACCGAAGCACAGCGTGTACTAAATCAATGCATTTCTAATGCAGCTCACTGTAAAAAACTCATCCGTAAAATTTACGGTAAAGACCGGCAGCTGTGGTTTTACCGTAATTTTTTTTTACAGTTTTAGTTTTTACAGTTTGAACTTAAATTTACAGTAAAATACTGTAATTTCATTAACTGATATAATGTTAATACACCAACCTATTGAAGTACTGAAGTCTGTTTTGTAGCTTTGTAATACACTGATAACCACCAAATGCAGGAGGTGATGAGAAAGTCACATGATGAACCAAAGCCCATCACAAGCAGCTTTTAAATAATAACACATATAGAAGCTGCACAGCGTCATTCACACAAACACTAAACACCATCACGGTAACACACATGACACTGAAATAAACATTCATTTAACAACATTAGGTGTAACACACAACCCTAATGTACAAAACTGATAAGAAAAAACTAAGAAAAACAGTTATTTCAACAAAAAAAACCATCAAATTTGAAATGTAACGCAGGGAATTCTGGGAATGGGAATTTACGGTTATTCACTGTAAATTATACAGTCTTTTTCACTTCCAAAAACAGTATACTACCGTTACATGTACAGTTTATTTCACCGTATACAGTAGGGGAATTTACCGTTAACCATTTAACAGGTTTTTACTGTAGCATTTTTACAGTCTTTTACCGTTAAATTCACGGTCATTTTCACAGTATGCATTTCACTCAGAAATCCGTCACAATATGGACTTCTAGTCAGCCACAGTGTGTGTTTCATGCCGTTTGATGGAGTGTGAGGACTGGTTAGTTATGGCCATGTTAGTTTGTCTGAAGGTGTTTGTGCTTCTGTTAATAAAGCTTCTGACGTGATTGAAGGATTCTTGTGTTTTTGACTCAAAACATCTGCTTTAAACGATCTTCAGCAGTTTAATTCTCTTTGAATCTTTCCTTGATTTGACTTTTTTCACCCATTTTATTATTTTATTTTTTTATGTGTCTACAGTGCGTGCATACTTATTATGCAAGCTGATGTAAGTATAAGGCATTTTTCAGTTCCAGCTAACAAGGGCAATTGTGTATCAATTTTAAATGACTAAATACAAAATGAATAGTAGTTATAAAGATTGATGTGGTTTGGAATTGGTCAAATGTGCTTTGGAAAAAGATACGACCAGAATATCAACTTGCACAATAATTATGTATGTACTCATGCTTTTAAACAGTGTTTTTCGTCCCATTATTAATCTGATGTCTGCCCCTTGATTTAATTATATCACAGAGTCTTCCAGCACACTGTTCTTATCCGAGGCCTCTGTAATAAATATGAGATTGTGCGTTCAGAGATTACTGTGCAGTTATTGCTGTGTCTTTCCCACTTTCACTTATTTTTGTAAATAATATCTAAATTTGAATCACTGAACTGATTTGAAGTGATAGTTCTTTCATTCTGTCTTCTTTTATTCACTCTCATTTCATTCCAAACCTGTATGATGTCTGCAGAATGCAAAAAAACATATAATATTCTTCTCATCACAACACATAAAACACACAAGGCACATGACAGTGTGTAAGATGTATTTAATATTAGGTTTGCTATCTTTAGACCGGTTCAAATGTTCTTCTGTGAGTGAGTGTGTGTGTGTGTGTGTGTGTGTGTGTGCCACAGCATCATTTTCACTCATGCATTTGTCAGAATCTTTTATCCAAAGTGGCTTACGTTGAATTGAAGGCACACATTTGATCAGTTCATTCATTCTCTGGGAATCGAATCTTGACTTTAGGGTTGCCAGCGCCATGATCTCCTGTTTGAGCTGCAGGAACACTTCAAAATGCTCGGTTTACACTCAGCATTTGAGCTCAGATACTCTCATACACACTCACACACTGACCGAGAGATGGACACGACGCTGACGGTGAATTATCAATGATGCTGCGAGGAATAAAGCAGACAGAGACACACACACACACACACACACACAGACAGACGGCTGTTAGCTCAGTTGCTGTAATCCGTCTAATGGCTGCTGTCGATTGTGTGTTTGATGACATAATGGACAAATAAACCAGCATGTGAGAGCTGCCAGATACTCTGATTGAGCCATACACACACTCACAAACACACACACACTCACACACACATCTAAAGAGACGCTCCGTAGACTTCTATTGTTTTCATATACAGCTGATTATTAACACTGTCATCTAACCCTCATAGAAAACGTGTTTGTTGCTAGTGTTTTGGAAAGAATTGGTTGATTTGAGACTGTATGAAATGTTTTGCTACTTTTACTGCATTTTGATGTCACATTAAATGCGGTTCCAAACTGAAAGCAGGTTAGAAGAACAGTGTGAAGAGTTTTGATAAAGAGACTTAAGTATTGAGAAATGAGTCCTAGCAATTGTCAATCAATCAAAGAGACTTACATTTGTTTAATGGATTTACGATGTAAAGAGCTCTTTTTAAGCACATTTAGAATTAAATTAGTAAATATTTGTAAATATGTTGACTATATATATATATATATAGATCCTCAGAGCTGAAAATGCTGCATGTGCAACCCATAAATTAAGTGCTAACTTTACTTTTACATTTTATTGCATTATTTAATTTCAGTTTGTTCTTCTATTTTTTTCTTTCTCTCTCATTCAATGCATTCTATAAAAAAAATATATTTTATTTGATGCAAATTTGATCTTCATATCATATTTCTCCATATTTCTGCTTGTGTAAGTGACCTGTGCTGTACCAGTGAACGCGCCTTTGGTGTTTTGCTTTGCTGTGTGTGTGTGTGTGTGTGTGTGTTTGTGTGTGTGTGTGTGTGTGAGAGAGAGAGAG